CACAGTGGTCTTGTATGAGATAGGAGGATTACCCAAGCTGGACACTTTCATTACCAACCTCTCCATCCCCTCACCCTTCATGGTTAGTCAAGCCTCATGCTGTCTGCCTGTTGTAGGGGTCAAGCTATAGTTCCTGGCTCCCCGTCTCTTAACCATTAACTGTAATGCCTTCTTAACTCCAAGGACTTTGTTAAACTGTATTTACCTTTGAATTCATATACGAGTGGAAGCAGACTGAGAAAGATGGACCAAGGATCCCAACGGAAATGAACCACACTAATTTATCTCGGGGTTATTCTTAGTAAATAACTCTCCTGGGTTAATAATCAATCCAAAGAAATTCTTCGTCCCCTCCTTTTTCTTCTATAACTCCCTTTATGTCTACCCTTCTGTGCATATTTCACATAGCGTGAGAAACTGTGCCCAAATTAGACCAGTTTGCCACTTATGATCTATATTAATCGCTATTATGTTGGTTTCACAGACGCTGGATAATGCGACTTACTACCTTCGAGCAGCTGACCAGCCCAGCCACCTGCTGAGTGCTCAGCCGGACGATCACCTGTGGAGGCTAGTAGTTGTCAACCACACCCTAGCACAACTACAATCCCCTTCACCTAATACACTCTTCTGGTAGGTCACATATGGGCATTTGAAACTAATAGTCAGTAAGTCAGTCACGCAGGCGCTCACCCAGGCACGCACGCACACTCCTACGAAGAAAGTTTTAAGGAAACCGGCCTGACGACACTGGAGGACAAAAAGGTTAGGGGAGACATGATAACGACATATAATATACAGAGGATGTTCCAGAGATGGGATACAGAAACAAGGGGTCACAATTGGAAGTTGAAGACTCCGATGAGCCACAGGGATGTTAGGAAGTATTTCTTCAGTCGTACAGTCGTCAGGAAGTAGAATAGCCTAGAAAGTGACGTAGTGGAGGCAGGAACCATACATAATTTTAAGACGAGGTTTGATAAAGCTCATGGAGCAGGGACAGAGAAGACCTAGTAGCGATTAGTGAAGAGGCGGGGCCAGGAGCTATGAATCGACCCCTGCAACCACAAATAGGCGAGTACACACACACAACCACAGACGAAGTACAGGATCGGAGGCAAAGGCTGCAACCCTCACTCAAGGATAAGGACCTCGGGGTGAGCACTGTACCGAGCACATCGCATAAGGCGCACATCAACCAAATAACTGCTGAAGCAAGTGCACGTCTAGCAAATCTAAGACTAGCGTTCAGAAACCTAAGCGTTCAATCACGACACTATACAGTATGGAACCCACACCTTGTCAAGCATGTCAAGAAATTTGATCAAATGCAGAGGTTTACAATGAGACTAATCCTAGAGCTAAGGGGTATGTCCTAAAAGGAGAGAATAAAGGAGCTAAACCTGATGACACTAGATGAAAAAGATTGCGTGTGATATGACGATAACGTAGAAAATACTGAGGAGAATTGGCAGGATGGACAGGGGCATTGTTTGAAAGGCTGGAAACAGGAACACGAGGGCACAGCTGAAAATTGAAACACACGAGTCAACCAGATGTTAAAAAGTATTTCTTCAGTCTCGGTAGTTACTGAGTGGAACGCCTGGACAGTGAAGTAGTAGATTATTATTATTATAATCAAGGGGGAAGCACTAAACCCGTAGGATTATACAGCGCGTGAAGTAGTAGAGACAGGATTCATGCACAGTTTTAAGAAGAAATACAATATGGCTCTCGAAACCAGAAGTGAACCCCTACAACTACATATTGGCGAGTACATACGTATACACACACACACACACACCTAAATGCGGTTAAAGCTTTTTTTTTTTTTCAGTTGCAGAGCCCTTAAAAGATTGCCCATTGAAGAACCCTGGCACAAACTGCCTACTGAAGTTGTAAAGGCAAAAAACAAAGTCTTAAGAGCTGGCTAAACTCAGATGATTAGTTATCATGGACTACTCAGGGCATAGTGGTAATAGTGGTGACATAAGTAGGATAAGACTGTAGTTAGGCCTTCTCAGCCGTACAGCTTCGATAGACAGCCTAAGGTCATCTGCTATCTGACTTTCCCTTGTACGTATACTATCTTATCACACAGGCAAACGTGACTCAGTTTCACTAACCAAACAACCCAACATTGGTATCGCAAGAGACGCTTGTAAGAAAGCAAAATAAGAAATTATGCCAGAACAACATGATGAGGAATTGTTTCCCCAGGGACTGAGGGGGAAGAAGTATACTTGACAAACACAAAGAATTAACAAGACACTTCTCGGGAATAAAAAGAGAGTAGATGATATATAACCGAAGTATAGCATTGATGGCCCTGTTAGTCCTGGGGAATTAGGAAGAAGTGTTGACTTAATAAAATATTTGGAAGAATTATTGGGAATACCTTCCTCAACATTTAAACAAATTTCATTGGTGAGAGAATAGCTTTAGCTAACTGTTGATCTCAGGAAGGTGATATAATATTTCTTTACGAATTAGTTCAACATTAGGCCTAAAAGAAAAAAAAATAATTTCTTGGAGTTTGTGGCCGGTTAGCGGATGCTGGCTATCCTTCGGTGTGTCGTTGGCCTTATGGATGCGGCACAGCAAGTCTTGTTATACAAATGTGGTTTAACTACTTGGCTAAAAGCAGCGATGCAGCGTATGATCTTCAATTTTGGCGTACACCGGGGGTATTATTGGGTCTGATCACCTCCGCCATTGGCCTGTAGACAGTGGTCAAAGACAAAGATGATCAAACGATTTCATGACGTAGGTGGGTACGAATAGTTTAACGTACAGGTCACCAGCGATGCAAGTCAGATAAACGACCTTTATTACGATATTCGAAGATAACGGAACAATTTATCATGGGAATGCTATCAAGATATGACAAAATGACACGACTAACAAACGAGACAGCAAGCCATAATGTGAAAAAGATGAAGAACTGGAGTATGTTAATTTGTTGAATAATTTTAATAGAAGTTTTTTAATGCTAAAAATTATACTCCTAAATAGAGAGAACTGAACATTCTTGCAAGATTAAAGCAAATATTAATAGCCTATACAATAATAGTGGGTGACTCGATAACCTGTCACGACCCCTTCACGAGGTGCTAATATAGTGGATCTCGTTCTGGGAGAAAAAAAAAAAAAAGCTAAAACACTGACTACAATATGTATATATATATCACACCGGCCGTATTCCACCGACGCTGAGTGACAGAAAAAAAGTGTGTTTTTAAATTTAGTAATTTATACAGGAGAAAGGGTTACTAGCTCCTTGTCCTCAACGTTTTAGTCGCCTCTTACGACAATCATGATTCAAAAAGTAATGAATACAAGACGTCCAAACGCACGTTTGCAAAGACAATACAAAAAAAAAAGATAAGAGAATTTTCGAAAAAAAATTGCAGACGTTAAAGGTAGCAACTATGAAGTGTTTATCAAATAGGACATGGGCAGAAAAATATGAAAGCTACGATACGAATTTTCACTAGCGGCACCGGTGCAATGGAGAATAAAAACCTCTTTATATACTGTACAACTCGACAAGCAATCTAACCTGATGAACTCTGAACTAGTCACCTAAAACACTCTGGACGACATATCAAAAGAAAGTGACTTACCAAACTATTCAAAGTCAACAGAAGTTACTCCAACAGTTAAGAGGGAAAATAGAACTTGTGCTCTCAACTGTCTCATTAACTTGGCATTAATTTTGGGTAAGCAAATCCTTCATTAAGGACGAGATGGCCAAGTTTAAAGAAGTTAGCTTAATATCCGGAAATAAACATCTTGTCTAACAAATTCACTAAACTTATTCAATTACATACACAAATACTAGGACAAAATTGTTTCCATAAATATAAACCTTTTGAAGAGAAGCTCCATAGAACATTGTTAGCTGAAATAAAGGTAGACAGTGAGAGAGAAACTTTCAGTCCTGGATCAATGACTGGCTCTTTAAGAGGAACCTGTCGAGTGGTTTGTAATGGAGAAGTGTTTGTATGGATGGATGTAACCAACATGTTGTTCATTCAACTTGGAGCCTCATCCTTTACACAATTTACTAAACAAAATTGTAAATGGGACTTACAAAATAAATTAGCCCAGTTTGATTATGGCACGATTTTGGGGAAAAAATCGCCGCAGGTGTAGGTCTGGGTATGTTGGTGCAGTGGCCAGAGGCTGAAAATGAATTTTAAATATGCACAATAGTAAAGCAATGCATCACATCTATTTTTTACTTTTCATTATTTTTAGTTATTTTTTTATTTTTTTAGTTCTTTTTATCTATATGCCGTGATATAATTCAGTAAAATGAATCTATGACATTAAACTCTGAGGCAGGAGGAGCAACACAGATGCCAGTTAAGTTTTCACAGTCATGAAAAAATAAAACAGACCTCAAAAGCTGGAAATGCAAGCAAATAACTGGCTTCACAAAAACTGTAAATATTGGTCTCAACTATATACCAGGAGCAAACCTGTCAATGAAACTTTGAAGTTAATTTACGGAGTATTCGGGGTGACCATGAACTACACACAAAATAGTTGTAGTGAAAGCGACAGTAGTATTAGTAGACAAGTCCAAGCTCTACTTCCACCTTTCCTATTAAACATTTATATAGATTTTTCAATATGAAATACCAAATCCCTTCGCCTATTTTTTTCTATAATGGCAGTAGAATATCTAGAGTTAACCGATTGTGAGATTAGTCGTAGACATTTGTTTGATCAATAAATTATAAATTATATTAAGAAATGCACAAAAAATAAACCCGACCCATATATTTAATTAAACAGGTTCAAGCCTGTTCCAGCAAGATTCGGTGGGGTTCGATACGCTCTGGTGTGTTCATCGCTACCAGAAGGACATCACTTAATTATTCCTGAAGTCGCTGGCATACGCCAAATGCCTCTATATTTTGGCCCTCAGGTAAGTTTTATAACAGGTAAATGGTAAGTTTTAATCTAACTAAATATGCTCTGAAATACATTATACTAAAACGGTTACTTCAAAACTGGTGAACCTACAGTTGTAATAAAGTTGGTAGAATTACCGACAATATGTAAAGTAAAAGGACAAGTGCAACTAATGTGACATTTATTGTGCCACAATAAATGTCACATTAGTTGCACTTGTGTCCTTTTACTTTACGAACCTACAGTTGTTGTGGTATTACTGCAGGTGGGTGCTGGCGCCATGGATGTGGTAACATTGCCTTCAGGGGAACATGTACTAGTCCATAAGACGAAACATCATGCATTCTTCCTGACCTTACGACCTGAAGACCACCAGGTTACGGTAACCACCCACTACCCAGGAAGGGGTGCTCACTGGATACTCTCGAAGGCAAGGGAATATTAGGCATGATATTGGACGAGGCGGTAGAATGTGAAGGAAGGACAAGGAATATACGAAGAAAAATGCAAGATCCAAAGGCATTAGGCGAAGGCAATATTCGCAAGTTAAATACGCCAGCAAGGATATTACAGACACACCCCATAGTATAACTGTACACATTAGTGGAGAAATACACTAGGGGCGCCATCGAGGAGACCAGAGCAGACACACAAACGTGGTAAAAACGATAAAGAAAAACTCCCATGGGACCTAGAGATTAATCACTCTATTAAAAATAAGTAGCGTGATGACTTAAGACTAAGTAATAAGTGACAAAGCGTGAAAAAAATACAGAGCACACTTAACAGAAAATAGGGAGGTAAGGATTCATGGAGGTATGAATGGGTGTCGTAGAGCAATTCGTGAATGATGTAATAAAGTCAAAGCCGAAAACACTCTTGATGCCATTTAAGAAGGAAAATGCCAATGAAGAATTAGATAAGGCCTGAAGGGCCATGATCGAATAATTACAGGAGAACATAAGAAAATAGAAGTTTGAGAATATTTTCATAAGGAATAAAAGTGCAATGGCTGAGCACAGCAGGAAGTTGCTAAGCCAGGAAGACTTTTAAATGTAATAACAAGAGATATAAAGTTTTAAGAAAGCGGAGAGAGAGAGAGAGAGCGCTGGATATAACGACTCTATGGTAACTTATAGGATAAAATGGGTACTGAAACAAAGAAGAAACCCCTGTGATCACCTGTCGAGTGCATGATAGCTAGGCAGTGAGCCCAGTGTTACTAGAGTGGTTGCAAAGTAATCTGAAAGAGATCCTTCACGATTTTTATTTAATGAAGTGCTAAAAACCCTGTGGGTCTTTCAACAAAATGAGTGGTGAAGGCTCGATCCTTCCTCTGTACTTTAGGCTGGACAGTGACAAGTGGTGGTTCAGTCTGTGCATCAAAAAGACAGAAGACAACGCTAAAAATTAGGTACTTCAAGATGTAGATGAGAGTCAGTAATGTATAAAAAACGAACAGTTGTGGTCAGTGACCGATGGTACTCCAGGAGTTATATGGTCGAAGAGATAAAAATTAGTGCTGTGCATTATGAATTAAAGTCTGTATTCATGGATTTTACCCGTCGATTACACATGAAATGAACTATGTAATGTTATGTAACCTCTGCTGTAATTATCATTTGTATATTCATGTTCATTCATTAAACTTATTACCGTTTTTACTGGTGTTTGAGCAGTTCATCCCAGGGAGAGATTTTTCGGGGCCAGGGTTGAAAAACAAGTACATGGCCAGCTAAGATGTGGGACAAGGAGGTACAATTTAACCTCCACAACCCTCCCCCCGCTCTCTCACACACAAAATGACTTAAATGTAAGCAGAACACGCAAGCTGAAAGCGTAAAATTGTCTACCAACACATTCCCTCCTTACCTATCCTTCTTTCTCCCCAACTTACCAAACCTCTAGTTAAAGAACCAAAATCATGGACGTGTATGTGCCTCTACCAAATTTGACAGCGGCACTAGAGTCCTTCAGAACCTGTAACGTATGTAAGAGCCATCAGAGTACGTACTACAAGCAAACCTGTAGACCAAGTAGCAGCTTGGTCTACAGTGCCCAGGAGTAGCAGCAGTCTGGTCTACAGTGCACAGGAGTAGCAGCAGCCTGGTCTACAGTGTCTAGGAGTAGCAGCAGCCTGGTCTACAGTGCCCAGGAGTAGTAGCAGCTTGGTCTACAGTGCCCAGGAGTAGTAGCAGCTTGGTTAAGTGCCCAGGTAGTAGCAGCTTGGTCTACAGTGCCCAGGAGTAGCAGCAGCTTGGTCTACAGTGCCCAGGAGTAGTAGCAGCTTGGTCTACAGTGCCCAGGAGTAGCAGCAGCTTGGTCTACAGTGCACAGGAGTAGCAGCAGCCTGGTCTACAGTGTCTAGGAGTAGCAGCAGCCTGGTCTACAGTGCCCAGGAGTAGTAGCAGCTTGGTCTACAGTGCCCAGGAGTAGCAGCAGCTTGGTCTACAGTGCCCAGGAGTAGCAGCAGCTTGGTCTACAGTGCCCAGGAGTAGTAGCAGCTTGGTCTACAGTGCCCAGGAGTAGTAGCAGCTTGGTCTACAGTGCCCAGGAGTAGTAGCATGGTCTACATGCCAGGAGTAGTAGAGCTTTGGTCTACAGTGCCCAGGATAGTAGCAGCTTGGCTCTTGTGCCAGGAGTAGTAGCAGCTTGTCTACATGCCCAGGAGAGTAGCATTGTCACAATGCCAGGAGTAGTAGCACTTGTCACAGTGCCCAGGAGTATAGCAGCTTGGTCTAAACAGTGCCCAGGAGTACAGCAACTAAAATAGTAGAGACTTTGACATCAGAGAGCCCTTGACATGTAGATTGTAGATCATCAGCGATCTTGCCATAAAAGCACATATCAGCAAACACAAACACGCCACACACACACACACACACACACACACACACACACACACGCACACACACACGCACACACACACGCACACACACACGCACACACACAACGCACACACACACGCACACACACACGCACACACACACGCACACCACACGCACACACACACGCCACACACACGCACACACGCGCGCACACACACACGCGCACACACGCGCGCACACACACACGCGCACACACACATGCGCGCACACACACGCGCACACACACACGCGCGCACACACACGCGCGCACACACACACGCGCGCACACACACACAGAAAGCAAGACTGAGGGACAAAGAGGGGTACCAGAGAGTATACCTCGACCGCGACAGAACACAAGAAGAAAGGACTACACTGAAAGAGAGGGTACAGAGACGCAAGGAGGAACGAGAAGCAATGAAAATGAGCAGGACCCAGACACAGGAGGAAGGGCAAACACACCCCACAGAATCTCCCACCAAAAGACCCCACCCGCAACATTCCCAACGCAACTGAGCAACCTATACTACAACCCACTCACTGTTCCCTCTGCCACCAACCCCCATATCACAAACCTCACCCCAACAGCTGTCCCTTATGGGCATTCTGACCCCACCCCCATCAACACATACCCCACCTACACCACAGCCCCATATAGGCCCCCACCAAGGCTCTCGCTCCCCCAACCCCAATATACTTGCATGACCACAATGATAGAAAAGAAACTAAAGGTTTGGTACACAAACGCTGATGGAATAACGAATAAACATGAGGAGTGGAATGAAAGAATCAGTGAAAAATCCCCAGACATCATAGCAGTCACAGAAACAAAACTCGCTGAGACAATAACAGACACAATCTTCCCAACAGGATATCAGATCCTGAGGAAAGATAGAAGGAGTAGAGGGGGAGGAGGGGTTGCACTGCTCATAAAACACCAATGGGGATTTGAGGAAATGGAAGGCATGGACATGATTGGAGAAAGAGACTACATTGTAGGTACAATTCAGTCCGGAGAACATAAAGTAGTCATTGGAGTGATGTATAACCCACCACAGAACTGCAGGAGGCCAAGAGAGGAGTACGAAGAAAACAACAGGGTGATGGTGGACACACTGGCTGAGGTGGCAAGAAGAGCTCACTCGAGCAGAGCAAAGTTACTGGTAATGGGCGATTTCAACCACAGGGAGATCGACTGGGAAAACCTGGAGCCACATGGGGGTCCCGAAACATGGAGAGCCAAGATGTTGGATGTGGTACTTGAAAACCTCATGCATCAACATGTCAGGGACACAACCAGAGAGAGAGGGGAGGATGAGCCAGCAAGACTGGATCTTGTGTTCACCCTGAGCAGTTCAGACATCGAGGACATCACTTACGAGAGGCCCCTTGGAGCTAGCGATCATGTGGTTCTGAGTTTTGACTATATAGTAGAGTTACAAGTGGAGAAGGTAACAGGAACTGAAGGGGACAGGCCAAACTATAAAAGGGGGGACTACACAGGTATGAGAAACTTCCTGCAGGAGGTTCAGTGGGACAGAGAAATGGTAGGAAAATCAGTAAACGAGATGATGGAATATGTGGCAACAAAGTGCAAGGAGGCAGAGGAAAGTTTTGTTCCCAAGGGAAACAGAAATAATAGGAAGACCAAAACGAGTCCTTGGTTTACCCGAAGGTGTAGGGAGGCAAAAACTAAGTGCAACAGAGAATGGAAAAGGTACAGGAGGCATAGGACCCAGGAAAACAAGGAGATTAGTAGAAGAGCCAGAAACGAGTATGCGCAGATAAGGAGGGAGGCCCAGCGACAGTATGAAAACGACATAGCATCGAAAGTCAAATCTGACCCAAAACTGCTGTATAGCCACATTAGGAGGAAGACAACAGTCAAGGACCAGGTGATAAGGCTGAGGAAAGAAGGTGGAGAACTCACAAGAAACGATCAAGAGGTATGTGAGGAGCTCAACACGAGATTTAAGGAAGTATTTACAGTAGAGACAGGAAGGACTCTGGGGGGACAGACCAGATGGGGACACCAACAAGTGTTGGACGACATACATACAGATGAGGAGGAGGTGAAGAAACTGCTAAGGGACATCGATACCTCAAAGGCAATGGGACCGGACAACATCTCTCCATGGGTCCTTAGAGAGGGAGCAGATATGTTGTGCATACCACTTACCACAATCTTCAACACATCCCTGGAAACTGGGCAACTACCTGAGGTATGGAAGACGGCAAATGTAGTTCCCATTTTCAAAAAAGGAGACAGAAAAGAGGCACTAAACTATAGACCTGTGTCATTGACGTGTATAGTATGCAAAATTATGGAGAAGATTATCAGGAGGAGAGTGGTGGAGCACCTGGAACGGAACAGGAGTATAAATGCCAACCAGCACGGATTCACGGAAGGCAAATCCTGTGTCACAAACCTTCTGGAGTTTTATGATAAAATAACAGAAGTAAGACAAAGAGAGAGAGGGTGGGTTGATTGCATCTTCTTGGACTGCAAGAAGGCTTTTGACACAGTTCCTCACAAGAGATTAGTGCAGAAGCTAGAGCATCAGGCGCATATAACAGGAAGGGCACTGCAATGGATCAGAGAATACCTGACAGGGAGGCAACAACGAGTCATGGTAGGTAATGATGTATCACAGTGGGCACCTGTGACGAGCGGGGTCCCACAGGGGTCGGTCCTAGGACCAGTGCTATTTTTGGTATATGTGAACGACATGACGGAAGGGTTAGACTCAGAAGTGTCCCTGTTTGCAGATGATGTGAAGTTAATGAGGAGAATTAAATCTGATGAGGACCAGGCAGGACTTCAAAGAGACCTGGACAGACTGGACACCTGGTCCAGCAAATGGCTTCTCGAATTTAATCCTGCCAAATGCAAAGTCATGAAGATAGGGGAAGGGCACAGAAGACCACAGACAGAGTATAGGCTAGGTGGCCAAAGACTGCAAACCTCACTCAAGGAGAAAGATCTTGGGGTGAGTATAACACCGAGCATGTCTCCGGAAGCACACATCAATCAGATAACTGCTGCAGCATATGGGCGCCTGGCAAACCTGAGAACAGCATTCCGACACCTTAGTAAGGAATCATTCAAGACACTGTACACCGTGTATGTCAGGCCCATACTGGAGTATGCAGCACCTGTTTGGAACCCGCACTTGATAAAGCACGTCAAGAAACTAGAGAAAGTACAAAGGTTTGCAACAAGGTTAGTTCCAGAGCTAAGGGGAATGTCCTATGAAGAAAGATTAAGGGAAATCGGCCTGACGACACTGGAGGACAGGAGGGTCAGGGGAGACATGATAACGACATATAAAATACTGCGTGGAATAGACAAGGTGGACAAGGACAGGATGTTCCAGGGAGGGGACACAGAAACAAGAGGCCACAATTGGAAGTTGAAGACACAAATGAGTCAGAGAGATAGTAGGAAGTATTTCTTCAGTCATAGAGTTGTAAGGCAGTGGAATAGCCTAGAAAATGACGTAGTGGAGGCAGGAACCATACACAGTTTTAAGACGAGGTTTGATAAAGCTCATGGAGCGGGGAGAGAGAGGGTCTAGTAGCAACCGGTGAAGAGGCGGGGCCAGGAGCTAGGACTCGACCCCTGCAACCACAAATAGGTGAGTACAAATAGGTGAGTACGCGCACACACGCGCACACACATACACGCACACACACACGCACACACACACGCACACACACACGCACACACACGCGCGCACACACACGCGCGCGCGCACACACGCACGCACACACACGCGCGCACACACACACACGCA